AGAATAAGTCAATGTAATGGGTAACTGTAACAATAAATAAAGATCTGTAGTCTTATGGATTTTCCCTGAGAACACTGCTGTTGAAAATTATTAGGAATAACAGCACCTGGGTGGCTCAGTCGGGTAAGCATCTGACTCTCCATTTCAGCTCAGGTCATGGTCTTAGGGTCGTGAGATGGAGCCCTGCTTGGGGCTCCGAGCTGGGTATGGAGTCTGCTTGAGATTTTCTCTCTCCCCCTCCCTCCCCCGCCCTCACATGCACACACTCTCTCTCTCTCTCTCAAAAAAAAAAAAATTGTTAGGAATAAATTATCAGAAATAGAAAGCAATTACGGAAGGACAGTCATCCGTAAGTCTTGTTACTGAACACCTGCCCAATGTGTTAAGTATTTGTTATCAAACAACTGTGACTGTGATTCATCAGATTATAAGATCAATTTCATGTCTTTTGGAATTGGGAAATATAGATCTAAACCTAAAAATATATCCCAAAATGCACCATTACAAAGCATCAGGGGAATTGTGCTACTTTAGTTAGATTAAGAAATTATCCTAAAAGAATAAGATGGCAGTTTGCTAATACATTAATATTTAGCAAATTATAATTATTATAATAATACAACTAGGATAGTAATAATTATTTTCTAATAGCCAGTAGACTAAGTGCTAACTTGTGGCCTGTTCTTTTCTAAGCACCGTGTGGGTTTTAACATATCTAATCCTCATGAAAAGGCAGTTACTTTGGGGGCCCCTGGCTGGCTCAGTTGGTAGAGCACACCACTCCTGATCTTGGGGTTGTAAGTTTGAGCCCTATGTGGGGTGTAGAGATCACCTAAACATAAAAAGTCTTTAAAAAAAAAAAGGAGTTACTTTTACTGCCCCCTTTTTGAGGTGAAAATTGAAGCCCAGAGAAGTTAAGACACTTACCCAATGTCACACAGCTACTGCATGGTAAAGTTGGGACTTGAGCACAGTAACTATAGCTCCCCCTAGGTCCCTTTTCTATTTTTATCAAAGTAATGCAAGCTTACTGGTTAAAGGAAAGATGGTCCCTTAATGAAATCAGTAGTGCCCTGGCCCACCCTCCCCCTCCAATCAATCCTGCTCATCAGAGGCAACAATTTTCTTGATAATATTTAAATGGTTACACAGTACATTTGACTTTTTTTAGTGTATAGTTCCACGTGTTTAACACAGACACATATTTGGGTAACCGCCACCACAATCAGAGCACAGAACTGTTCCATCACCGCCAATGTCCATCATGCTGTTCATTTATAGTCACGCTGCCCATCCAGATCTAACCCTTGGCAGCCACTGGTATGTTCTCCATCATTATGGTTCTATCTTTGCAAGAGTGACATACAAATGGAATCATGCAGTATGTAACCTTTTGAGACTGGCTTCTTTCGTTCAGCATAATGCCTTTGCAATTCATTCAAGGGATTGTATGTATTAGTAGCTTATTCTTTTTTATTGCTTAGTAGTATTCTGTTTTATGGATGTACCACAGTTCATTTATCCATTTCACCGTGGATGGACCTTTGGACTGTTTCCAGTTTGGAGCCATTACAAACAAAGCCACTAAGGATTTGGGTAAAATTTTTGTGTAAACATAGTTATCATTTCACTTGGGTAAATACTGAGGAGTGTGATGGCTGGGTCGTAGGGTAAGACTATGTTTAACTTTAACAAAACTGCCAAACTGTTTTTCCAAAGTGGCTTACGGTTTTGGATTCCACAGCAACTTATGAGAGTTTTATTGCTTCACATCCTTATCAGCACTTGGTATTATAGGTTTTGTTTTGTTGTGTTTAATGTCAATGGTGTAGAGGCATCTCATTGTGGTTTTGATTTGCATCTCCCTATTGCTTAATGGTATTGAGCATCTTTTTATCTGCATATTTTCCATCCATATATCTTCTTTGGTAAAGTGTCATTCACATCTTTTTGCCAATTTGTTATTGGGTTACTCTTTTCTTATTATTGAGTTTTGAGTGTTCTGTGTGTGTGTGTGTATTGTTTTTTTGAGGGCTCTTTATATATTCTGGATACGATAACTGGTGAAGCTGGTTAGGTGACTTGCAAGTACTTTCTCTCAGTCTGTGTCTTGTCTTTTCATTAGCTTAACAGTGTCTTTCAAAAAGGAGACATTCTTAATTTTAATGAAGTCCAACTTACTAATTTTTAAAAATGAATTGTTTTTGAGTTATAGAAAAGAAATCATTGCCTAACCCAAGGTCACAAACATTTCTTCCTATACTTTCTTCTGGAAGTTTTACAATTTTAGGTTTTATATTTAGATCTATGATCAGTTTTGGGTTAATTTTCATATATTGTACAAAGGATGGGTTGAAGTTTATTTTTTATGTAGAGATGTCCAATTTTTCCAGCACTATATTCTGCAAAGACTGTTCTTTCTCCATTGGATTGCCTTTGCACATTTGCTGAAAATCCACCTGCCATGTTTCTGTGAGTTTGTTTCTGAATTCTCTGTTCCATTGATCTATGTATTTATGCTTTCCTCAATAGTACAATGTTTTATTAATGGTAGCTATATAGCAAGTCTTGAAATAAGGTAAGGGGAGTCTTCCAAATCTGTTCTTTTTAAAATTTGTTTAAAATTTGTTAAAATTTAGAACCATCTTGTCAATTTCATAAACAAAAAAATCCTGCTGGGATTTTTTTTTCCTGTTGTATTGAATCTGTAGATCAATTTGAAAAGAAGTGCCATCTTAGCAATATTCATTGTTTTGCAGTTTTTGGCATGCAATCCTGCACATATATTGTTAAATTTATATCTAAGTATTTCGTGGTTTTTGGTGATTTTGAAAGTAGAGCTTTTTTTAGTTCAGTTTACAATTGTTTATTGCTAGTTGTTGGAGGCAGGATTCCAACCTGTGATGTCCACCCTCTGTGTGATCCCCTCCTATTGAATGCTAGCAGAGCATTTCAATCAGCAGGCAAAGGTGAAGACCTTTTGTGGATCTAATTAAGATCACTTGATTTTGAGTTACTCAAAAGGGAGATGATCCTGGGTGAGCTTGATCTAATCAGGTGGCCACTTTCAAAGAGGGTCTACAGACCAAGCATGGGAGAAGTCAGAGAGATGCTTTCCTACAAGCCCCAAAAGAGAAAACAAGCAGTGAGGTGATCTGCCTCAGAAAGGGCCTAGGCCTCTCGGAGCTGAGGGTTCTGAGCAAGGAAGTGAATTCTGTGCCAACCTGAAGGAGCCTGAAAGTGGACCCTGAGCCTTAGATGAGATTGCAGCCCCAGCTAAAACTTCCATTTCAGCCTGTTCAGAGCTTGGAGCAGAGCGTGGAGCATTTAACCTGTATTTAGACTCCGAACCCATGGAAACTGTGAGATAATAAATTTCTGTTGTTTCAGCCCATTAAATATGTAGCCATTTGTTACATAACAATAGAAAACTAATACACTAGTACATAAAAATATGATTAATTTTTCTGTATTGATTGTGTGTTCTGCAATCTGACATACTCACTTATGGTTCTAGTAGACCTTTAACATTTGTTGAGATTTTCTACAAAGACACTTACATCACCAGTGAATAGAAAATGAATTATTCATTTCCAAACTGTTTTCTTTTTATTTCCTTTTCTTGCTTTATTGCACTGGCTAGAATCTCCAGTACAATGTTCAATAGGAGTAGTGAGAGCAGACATCCTTGCTGTCCCTAGTCCTGAGAGGAAAGTATCTGTGTTCCTTGTTAAGTATGATGTTAGGGGCAGGTGTTTGCAGATATTCTTTATCAGATTGATAAAGTGTCCCTTTCTATTTCTTTCAGTTTTTAAAACTGAGAATGTTGTTGAATTTTGTCAAAAGTTTTTTCTGCATCTGTTGAGATGATCATATGGCCTTTTTTTAATTTGTTGATATGGTGAATTACATAGATTTATTTTTAAATGTTGAACTGGCATTACATTCTCAGGATAAACCCCACATAGTCATATGTCTGTTTCAGTGGATTCTGACTGATAGCATTTTGTTAAGGATTTTTGCCTTCATATTCATGAAGATGTTAATCCTTTCTTTCCTTCCCTTGTAAAGTCTGCCTGGTTGTGGTATCAGGGTAATACTGGCCTCATATAATTCAATTAAAATTTTCTTGAGAATGTTGGGGTTTTTTTCTTTTTCCTTTTTAGCAGGCAATCCACCCAGTTAGGTTCAGAAAGAAGTTCTACTTGCTTTCTGTGGATAGTGGTTCCAATCTCCATTTAATTTTCCAAGACTTCATTATGCTGCCTTGGGTCTGTCTCATGCACACACAGGTCAGAAGTGAGCCCCAGAATTATGTGGGTTCACACAGGATTAGGGAACCACTTTTTTTTAAATAATCTCTACACCCAACATGGGGCTCAAACTCACCACCCTGAGATCAAGAGTCACATGCTCTACTGACTGAGCCATCCAGGCACCCCTAGGGAACCACTTTTGCCCCCCTCTTCTCTCCAAGGCTTTTTCCACACTCTTGGGCTCACAGGCACCCCCTTCCCCATTCCTCTGGGCAGAAATATGGGTTTTCTCTCAGAGGTTCAGCTGCCTGTTCCACCATAACCCCACAGCTCTGCAGCTGACATCTGCCCTGGGGGCAAAGCCATGAGAGAAAAGACAAAAACAAAATTATGGTCCCATCTTCCACCCCTACCCACTCTTCAGACCACAGGGGCCCCTTTTCTTGAGTTCTGTGGCCAGAAATAAAGGATTTCCATTTGAGTTTTGCCCTTGCAGTTCTGTGATCGGTGCCCACCTTCAAGACAAAGCCATAAGAGAAAAGAGGGAGGAAAAAAAATCTGAGCAACACACTCTCTTGTGGGCTACTTCTCCAAGTTTTGACACCCTGCCACCCCCACCCCTGCCAATCTGCCTGCGTTTGGTCACCCATCAGAATTCTCAGTAGGTATTTTTTGCATTTTGTCCAGAATCTTTCATTTTCATCAGGGCAGAGAGAGGCTATGGTGGGGCTTGCGCCATCTTACCTGGAAGCAGAAACCCAGCCAGGAGTTCTTGATATCTGCTAGCAACTTGATTTCATTTGGCTAACATTCCCCTAATGCTGGGGACCTGGAACTACTGACTCCTATGGGAAGAATCTGAGCAGTCATAAATACTCTTTCACCTGAGTCAAGGAAGACAGATATTTATACTGAAACACGTCACAGGTATGTCCGGCTGGCTCAGGTGGTAGAGCATGTGACTCTTGATCTTGGGTTGTGAGTTCAAGCCCCACATTAAGTATAGAGATTACTTACAAATAAAATCTTAAAAAAAAAAAAAGGAAAGAAAGAAACATGTCACAGAAAAGTTTGACAAATGTCTAATCTTGAATAGTCCAAGTAAAGTTAGAGATGGCTTCACATCGTCGTTGAATAGCTGCCTTCCCTACAAGCTCCCAGGCTTAAAAACCAAACCTTTTTTCTGATTGGCACAGCCCAAGTGTAGTGAGAATCCACCTACCTGAGGAGGCTTGGTGTCACTGTCGCCAGGAGCCGCCTGCCCCACAGAAACTCCTTTCAGGCAGAGCCTTCCCCCTTGCGGAGGTGAAACACTGGATACTCAGCTGTGTCCTCATAGTAAACTCGACTTTCATCAAAGTCATTTAAGTGGATCTCTGTTTCTTCCAACAAAGAAAAACAAACTAAAGCAGGAGCACTGAGCAGTATATGAAAAGAAATAGAAATAAGAGACATAGGGAGCCCTGGTGGCGCAGTCGGTTAAGCATCCAACTCTGGGTTTCAGCTCAGGTCCTAATCTCAGGATCTTGAGATCAAGCCCCGCATCAGGCTCCAAGCTCAGTGAGGAGTCTGCTTAAGTTTTTCTCTCCCTCTCCATCTGCCCCTCCCCCCTCTCAAAATAAATAAATAAATCTAAAAAAAGGAAGAAGAGATGCAAATATTGAGAAGGAAAAACAGAATTAGCATTATTTGCAAAAAGCAGTAGCTAATGTTCAGAGCATTTACTGTATGCCAGGCACGCCTCTTAGACTTTACAGATGCTTTATCTGTAAGGATAATCTTACAGGATCAGCTCAGCGCCCTGGAGGGATGGCCTGCTCTGTTTGCCGCTGGGAGTAAACCCAAGTATGAAGTCAGTAGGTAACTGGCCTGAGGACAGACAGCTCCAGCGAGGGGTGGAGGCGGGGTTGGGAAGCCAGACAGTGGGGCTGCAGAGCCCCCACCCAAACCACCATGCTGCCCTGTTACTGTGTAGTCACTCTGCATCCCAGGATTATGATACCGTCCCTACAGAGGCCACTGGTGTCTAGCATGTTCCACTCAAAGGTTGGAAGTTCCTTTAAAGTTAAGCTATTTTTTAAAATATTACATATGTGATATATTTGACCTGGTTAAAACAATGAAAACATTAGAAAAGGATATTAAGCAAAATATTAATGTATCATTAAGAGCAGTTTCCTTTCTATCGATCCAGTAAGGTTTTAGGCACCCATGTGCATATATATAAATGCAACAGTTTAGGCGTAAGGTTAATATTTTTATTTTTACAGAAATGGTAATACGCCACTTATACTATTCTAAAACTTAAAAAAAAAAAAATCTTAGCGTATTTGGGCCAACCTTCCAGATTTTTTCCTTTAAAAAGCCACATAGTGGGGCATCTGGCTGGCTCAGTCAATAGGGTATGCGACTCTTGATCTCAGGGTTGTTTAAGTTCAAGCCCCACACTGGGTGTAGAGATTACTTAAAAATAAAATCTTAAAAAAATTAAAATTAAAAAAGAGCCACATAGTATTCCATTGTCGATGTGTGTCCTTGCAGTTGACACTTGAACAACATGGGTTTGAACTGCTTGGGTCCACTTACACATAGACTTTTTTCGACGAATATATTGGAAAACTTTTTGGAGATTTGTGACAATTTGAAAAAAACTTGCAGACAAACCACGTAGCCTAGAAATACAAAGAAAAAAAAAAAAGAAAAAGTTAGGTGTTATTGTCAGAATACAGTATATAACATGTAACATACAAGATACGTGTTGATCACCTGTTTATGTTACAAGTAAGGCTTCTGGTCAACAGTAGGCTATCAGTAAAGTTTTGGGGGAGCAAAAGTTACAATGGATTTTTGACTGTATGGGGGCGTTGATGTCCCTAATCTCTACATTATTCAACAATCAACTGTATTTTATTTTTACCAGTTCACTCTTGGTGGACGTATAGATTGTTTTCTAGGTTTTACTATTATAAATAATGCTACCATAAATATATTTTTATAGATCTTTGTACATGTGCTGATTAAGGGGATATGTGCATTTCAAAGTTAATAGGAAATGTCAAGTTATTACAAAATTTGTAATTCTTTCTATCTGAAGGTTTAGAATAAGCTTTTCAAAACCTACATTTTCTCATTGCACTCTCCCACGGAGAACCTCTGAGAGGTTTTCATTGCGGAGAGAACAGACTACGCTCCTCCATGTGCACACAAAGCTCTCTGCAGGCCCGCTCTATGTGGTCATCTCAGCCTCATCCCTTCTTCCCATGCACGCTATTCCTCAACCGCGCTGAGCAGCATCTCATTCCTGGGGGACGTCAGGATCTTTAGGATCCCATAGCTCGGCACAAGCTTTATTCTCTGCCTGGAATGCCCTTCTCCTTTTGCTCATTCTTCAAGATCCAACTTAAATGTCTTAGTACTTATGAAACCTTTCTTGGTGCTCGGGGCAAAGTCTGTCCCATGTCCCCACAGCTACAGGAAAGCTCTTACTACAGTATCACCATTGGCCTCACATGTCCGGCTCTATCACTAAAATCTAAGCTCCCTGAGGCCATGTGTTATCTATTTTTCAGTCCACAGTGTCTAGCCTGTACTGGGTACAGGGGAGAAGTTCAGTAAGTGTTTGCTGACCAAGTAAGCAGACAAACAGAGGAGGAAGAATAGATCTTGTAAACAAAGAGCATCTATTACAGTTTTGTAGACGGTTACTTAGAGCAAATGTGGATGGATTTATTTAGCATACACCATTTCTTTTTTTTTTTTTTTAAAGATTTTATTTGTTTTTTTGACAGAGAGAGAGACAGCGAGAGAGGGAACACAAGCAGGGGGAGTGGGAGAGGGAGAAGCAGGCTTCCTGCTGAGCAAGGAGCCCGATGTGGGGCTCGATCCCAGGACCCTGGGATCATGACCTGAGCTGAAGGCAGACGCTTAACGACTGAGCCACCCAGGTGCCCCAAGCATACACCTTTTCTATTAATTTAACACCATACTCACACACAGTTCTCTATGTACATGAGCTACAAATGAGCAAATCTGAAGTCCATAATTTGGTAAGATGTTGAATAAGTAATCATATTAACCTATTAACACAAAGGTAGTTCAGTAAAGTACCCATTAATGCAACAAAGCACATTTTTTGGACAAACATTTCCAATAATCGATTTAGATACTTGTAAGTTTTACTAAGTACCTAATATGCTTGGCTCACTAGCAGACCCTTTCGTGTCTATTGAATTATCACAGCGAAGAGACGATTAAGTATCATCCCAATTTCATTGGCAAGAAAACAGGCTCAAAGAGTCTACCTACCTAGTCCAAGGCCACATACACACATAAGCCAGAAGCTTAGGGTTCCGATGCAAAGCTGCTGGTTCCAAATCTAGTGCACTACTCACCAACCTGCAAATACCTGAATAGCACACTGGGTTCACCTCTGAGCATTTTCACCTGCCTTAGTGTGTGCGCCACTGAGTGGAACAGACTCTTCCAAGAAACACGGGGTTGCTCAGACACCCCCACCTGCATACAGGTTTGCTCCTAATGTCAGTGTTGGATTTCCAAGACATGAAATCGGCAGTTAGAGGAATGGCAAAAAACCAAACCAAACCAAACAAACAAACAAAGAAACAAACAGCAGCCAGAAAAAATGATTTCTGTGTGAAATAAGGCAGAGTAACAATTCTGTCTTCTGATCAATGGTGTTTGTAAGAAAAACTACTTCTCAGGGCACCTGGCTGGCTCAGTTGATGGAGCCTATGATTCTTGATCTCGGGGTTGTAGGTTCGAGCCCCATGTTGGGTGTAGAGATTACTTAAAAATAAAATCTTTAAAAAAAATACAAAAAGAAAAATTACTCTTAGTTTGAATAATGAAAATGGATTCCACTGCCAATTTCAGCTTGCTTATTTCATGGTCACTGGGAAGAGAAATTACATTTAAAAACCAGTACCGAACAAGAGTAAGGTTAAAGATTTGGGGGTTTTTTTGTTTTTGTTTTTTAGGTTTTTTGTTTTGTTTTGTTTTGTTTTCTTTACTAAATCTTTAAATGCTTTACTAGAGGCTGAAAAATAAGGGATATTTTTTGTTTTTTTTTAAGAATCAAACATTCAGAAAGTTAGGCAACAAAAATTGATTGGTGGAATTTTGTAGGAAGAAAATCTAACTTCTTACAATAGCTTTTTACCTCACTGAATATTTATAGTGGAGCCCCCCCGAAGAGTTTTTTTCTTCTGAAGTTCAAGAATTACAATTCACATTGTAATTATAATTGCTTAAAAATCTATCTATATGAGTTTCGTTATATCACATGGAATTAAAATGAGGGAAGCTCTGCCCCCTGACCCGACTAAAGTTTAGGTACAAATGCAAGAGTTTTCCAGATAGGAGGATCATGTCTTCTTTTTCCCTTCATATCATTGCTCTTCACCATTGATAGACTATGACCCACGTTCTGGGAAGATGTTCCTCATTGCTATGGTTACGGGACACCCTGTGTCACCCCCCTGAGGGTGCATTCCAGTGCTTTCCATAATGCAGCAGTTTCCCAAGGGCAGGTCTCCCTGGCATCCAGTGGGCAGATTGTCATTGAGTTCCACCAGTGTGGAACCTTAGCAAACGTCACCATCACCCAGCGGCGTGGCCTTACCGTCTTCAATAAGGTCTGTATCCCAGCCTTAGCTGGGGGAAAGGGGCCCCCTTTCAGGTTTCTTCCTTTTTTAGATGCTCTAACTCAGCCTGGAAATAATAACTACCCCTACACCTTCTTTTCCTGTATTCTTCTGGGTTCTCTCTACCTCTTAGTAGGTAATCCCATGTTAGAGTTAATAATTCTTTATATTAGGGCGCCTGGGTGGCTCAGTTG